CTGAATATCCCGCCGCGTAATTACTGGCAACGCGAGCCAGTTACTTATAGTAACTTATAGTAACTGGCTCGCGCTGCCAGTAATTACGCCGCGGGATATTCAGTGCACAGACCGTGATCATAAGACATACCGAAGATAGAAAATAGACATTGCATGTGAACGAAGCCTAAGTGGTTGCAGTGATTTTTAAGTAGTGGCAGTTGCAAACAAGGTGTGAAAACGAACAAAAATGAAGCAAAAAATAAAGTTAAAATTGAATAAAATATAAAATATAATGACTAATGAGTGAAACAATAATATTATAAAAAAAGTGAGTGATTTTATTAACACAATGAACAGCCGAAGTCAAATAGTAACTGTATTCCAAGAAGGCTTAAAATGTAATTTTACACTGAGGCTCATAATATCATTGCATCATGTTTATTAGTAACACTAAAATCTGAGAGTTTTGCATGCTGTGCTGTAACTGTAACAGTAGTAATTATTCTTATCATTCTAAATTTTGAATTATCTATATTTTGTGTTTCTATATTTGGTGTTTCATATTACAAAATCTGGAGTCACAAAAAGTTTGTTCCCATTTTTCCTCTAATACTTCACCCTTCTGTCAATTAAAATGTCAAACACTGTAAAATATGTTAATACGAGAAATGTCCAGTTGAAATAAATCGATACACTGTGAAGTATTTTCATATTCTGAGACTAGCAAACATACATCCAAACATATGTGAACACAACATCTGGTCTATGTTGAAATATGTATTCATATGATAATCAAGTGAAAAATTGGAATGCTGATACATTTAATGTACCCATTAAATATTCTACAGTATTTGAATGTATGATACCTTCAATATACTTTATTCACACAAAAAAAGTTAACCCAGTGCAAGTTCCATAAAAATTACCCTCTACCAGGATGTAGATATTATAGACAAATATTTAAAAACTGACAGAGAACCAAATGACTGTCTATTTATCTAAAGATATCTGTGAATATCTTGTGAAAAATCAAACTGTCGCCCTGGTAGAGGGTAAATAAAAATCACGTTTTTACCTCCAGATGTCCTCTTTGCAGAGCTTCTCTTGCTTCAAACAGCAAGCTTTTGATTATCCAACTCTTACAATTGAAAAGCTGCCCATGTTCTACAGTTCTAGCCTGAGTTTTGGTCCCGACTAAGACCAGTTTTTTTTTTTTATTATTTACTTTTTGTTTTCAAATTTGATAAGTTTGCCAATAAGTTCTAAGTTTTGTTAGCTCATTTCTTTGGGTCCCTATCATTTAGAACTTCGTATATGTCATCAAAACTTTTTTTAACACACCGTAGAAACTCCTGTACGTCTCTCGCGGGAGGATAAGAAGTCACATTACATCCCAGTGAATCATCCTGGACACCATAGCCTAAAAATATAATAAACATAATATAATGTAATTATACTTATACACCAATTGGGATTCATTTAACTATCATATTGATCAAAATCCATTTCCATACCGCTCACCTGTCAAATTACAGGAGGTGTCTAAAAAAAGACTAACTCTACAGAAAGAAACTCAATTTAAAAAAAAATTCCCTTAATAACCCACCACAAATCATCACATAATTACAAATAAATAACCTA